ACCCCAATTAAACACACCTGAACCAGCTAATCAAGCTCTTACTAGGCATACTAAAAACTTAAAGGCAGGCGTGTTGAGGCAAGTTGGAGCTAAACTCTGCAGGACACTGGCCCTCCAGGACCCAGTTTGGGCAGCCCTGTGCCAAGGCAACGTTTCTCATTTTTAAGTCCTAAAATAACTAAACTAAATCATATGTAAACATGTTTAAAAAATAAATAAATAATGAAACATTAAAAAAATCAGTGCTGATCTAGTAAGTGCTGCTGCTGCTTTATATATATTTTTTTATATATTTTTTTACATTTTACCTTATTTGTATATTTGTATAGTTGTATTTTATACTTAATCTGTATATCTGTATTTATGTTCTACTGTTAGTGTTATCTGTATGCACCAAGGGTCTGAGAGTAACGCAATTTCAATTCTCTGTGTGTATGTGCTGTACATGTGGAAGAATTGACAATAAAGCAGACTTGACTAAATCATCTGACGGCACACAGGAATAAAGAGTTTTGGTTTAGCTTCATACGTTGTGAAGCCGTGAGATCCGTGTCGTGTGATGGCTCACACTCGTGTGTGTGTGCGTGTGTGTGTGTGTGAGAGTGTGTGTGTGTGAGAGTGTGTGTGTGTGTGTGTGTGTGTGTGTGTGTGTGTGCAGGTGCGTCTGCAGGTGGGCCTGTACGTGGTGTATCTTCTGGACTGGATGTCAGTGTTCAGCCGTGATCAGCTCTTAGTTTTGCGTTTGGAGGATCATGCTTCAAACCCGGAGCTCAGCATGAGCAGGATCTTCCGCTTCCTGCGCTTAGGTCAGTCCTGATGAACTCGTGTTCATGTACATGCTGTGAGCAGCAGGGGGCGCCACGTTCATCATCATCATCATCATCATCATCATCTGATTAGTGTTGTCATATAGACCATGCCGATCAGAATATGTAATGTGTATTAAAAAAATAACTAAAGAGACAAAAAATATATGAACCAAATGTGATTTTAACACTTTATATATAATGCATTATGAAAGTAGTTTTAATGCATTAATTTTGCCTTGTAATGCACTTTATAATGCATCATATGAATAATTGTAACCACAGTTATCATACCTTATAATACTTCATATATTCATTGTTACACCTTTAGAATGTATAATGCATTAAAACACATGACAAAATATTAGAATGCATTTTAACTCTGGTTACAATTATTTATGAAAAGATACAATGCATTGCTTTATTTGAAGTGTTGGCGTGATGTTAAACTGTTGTTCAGATGTGTCTGACTATGATCTGTGAATGAACTCTTGCAGGAGCGCTGTCTGATCAGAGACAGAGACAGATCAGCAAGCGTCCCGCGTCAAACACCAGACATCCGTCCGACAGGGATCTGGGCCCGATGCGTCCCATCACACGAGAGCTGCTCACGCTGTTTTACGCTCCGTTCAATCAGAGACTGGCAGAGGTTCTGCAGGACGAGTCGTTCACGTGGGACGGTCGCTCTGAACACACCTGACAGCCGTGTGATGTTCCTGGATCTCACAGACACCATGAAGTCTGTCCGACAGCAAATGTGGAAGAATCGGGCTTTTATCTGTACTTTCAAATGGATAGTTCACCCAAAAATTATTTATAAAAACACTAAAGAAGATATTGTGGAAAAATTGGAAACTGAATAACTTTGGACCCCATTGACTTTCACTGTACGGATGAAAACCACTGAGGCGTTTCTCAAAACATCTCATTTGTGCTCCATAAAATAAAGACACGAGGGTGAATAAATGATGACAGAATGATTATTTTTAGGTGAACAATTCTTAAACCAGCAGCCTATAGATGAAAACTAAAGCACTAGAAATCCAAAAATCGCTTTATATCACTTTTACAGAATTACAAATGATGCACTCACTTCATTTTCCGTCAGAGAAAGATCTGCACTGCGCATGTGCGGAGTTTATTCTCACGTTTCCTTCACTGACTGCTGAACACACAACATTAACAAAAACAGCTGATGCTAACGAAAAGATCAAATTAAAAAAAGATCAGCAGCAACAAAACACAACAGTATTTCACGAGTTCACACTTACATAGGTTTTGTGTATTTGGCGTGCTGTCCGAGGGGAGGGATGCTAGAAAACGCTCAAGGAACAGAGGCAAGTCTGCTGTGTATATACACCTCGTATCTTGTTAATTGAGTTGGTTACTGAATGTGCTCTTCTCGTGTTAATTAGGTTAATTATCTGAACATGCGCCTCCCGATAATAATTTAATCAAGCAGTTTTGAGGCTCATATGAATCTAAATTAACATAAAAATATATTTTTTGCTGAGATTAGATATAGTGACACAATTTCGCGTCGTGATTACGTAAGGACGTCATTGCGCAATGACATGACAACGTCATTTAGCAACTTTTAGCAACAAATCGACCTTCCTTTAGCAACTTCCCACGAAAATTAGTTGTACTTCGGCACGTCTAATAAATCAGCGCTGGATTTCCATCAGAAGGTGTGTGAGTCTCTGCGGATGTTCGAGGGCTGTCTGCGGGGCGCCGGGCTGAGAGCGTGTGTGTACAACAGCACACTGAACAACGCCATGAGCGTGAGTGACCTCTGACCTCTGTGTTCAACAGGCCCTCTGATCTCTTAATTTACATATTCAAATGAGCTCAGTGTCCCATTTATTTCTATAGCGCTTTATACGAAACAGATTGATTCAAAGCAGCTTCACTGTGATAAGTAAATAACAGAATCGTTGATGCAAACTTCTTCATATATGACACAATTTCTAATTCTGCTGCTCTACAGAAGTCAGTCAAGACAAGTTTTGTTCTCATCTGATAGTGTCAGTGCAGTTAAATCAATCATATTACTGAATATTGAGTGTCTTTTAAATGCAGCGAGTGCCCCTATGCGCCTTCACTTGCTTTCTAATGCTGTGGTATCATGTTCAGTAGCTCCGCCCACGATCAGTAGCTCCACCCACAGTCAAATCTCATTGGTTCAGAATCCCTGCCTTTAAGTGCAGATGGAAGCTCCTTCCTCTGAGCCGGACATTCTTTGTTAAGAGAAATCATACATTCAAGTTCGAAACACAACAAAGCAAAATAATTATATTGTGAACAATAAGCACAAATAATTTGACTTTCTGACTTGAAGAACACGAGACGTCAGCTCTGTTCTGATTGGTTGATTGTGTCACATTTTCACTCAGTGTGTGTGTGTGTGTGTGTGTGTGTGTGTGTGTGTGTGTGTGTGTGTGTGTGTGTTGTGGTATTGCTCATTTGTGGAAAAATTGGAAACTGAATAACTTTGGACCCCATTGACTTTCACTGTACGGATGAAAACCACTGAGGCGTTTCTCAAAACATCTCATTTGTGCTCCATAAAATAAAGACACGAGGGTGAATAAATGATGACAGAATGATTATTTTTAGGTGAACAATTCTTAAACCAGCAGCCTATAGATGAAAACTAAAGCACTAGAAATCCAAAAATCGCTTTATATCACTTTTACAGAATTACAAATGATGCACTCACTTCATTTTCCGTCAGAGAAAGATCTGCACTGCGCATGTGCGGAGTTTATTCTCACGTTTCCTTCACTGACTGCTGAACACACAACATTAACAAAAACAGCTGATGCTAACGAAAAGATCAAATTAAAAAAAGATCAGCAGCAACAAAACACAACAGTATTTCACGAGTTCACACTTACATAGGTTTTGTGTATTTGGCGTGCTGTCCGAGGGGAGGGATGCTAGAAAACGCTCAAGGAACAGAGGCAAGTCTGCTGTGTATATACACCTCGTATCTTGTTAATTGAGTTGGTTACTGAATGTGCTCTTCTCGTGTTAATTAGGTTAATTATCTGAACATGCGCCTCCCGATAATAATTTAATCAAGCAGTTTTGAGGCTCATATGAATCTAAATTAACATAAAAATATATTTTTTGCTGAGATTAGATATAGTGACACAATTTCGCGTCGTGATTACGTAAGGACGTCATTGCGCAATGACATGACAACGTCATTTAGCAACTTTTAGCAACAAATCGACCTTCCTTTAGCAACTTCCCACGAAAATTAGTTGGCAACACTGCTGTAAGCTCTTCTCACGTTCATTAAAAACATGATAGCAACATACTAATCATGTTAGAAAGATGCTAACAACATGCTAGCGATATGCTAATAATGCTAGAAACATTCTAGCGACATGCTAATAATGATAAAAACATGTTAACAATATGCTAATCATGCTAAAAACATGCTAGTGAAATGCTAATCATGTTAAAAACATGATAATCATGCTAGTGAAATGTTAAACATGCTAGGAAAATGTTAGCAACTTGCTACAAACATGTTAACGACATGCTAACAATATGATAATCATGGTAGAAACATACTAGAAACATGTTAATCATTCTATAAACATGCTAACATGCTAGCGACATGCTAATCATGATAAAACATGGTAGAAACACTAATTATGCTAGAAATATGCTAGTGACACGTTAAACATGCTAGAAAAATGTTACCAACTTGCTACAAACATGTTAACAACATGCTAACAACATGCTAATCATGGTAGAAACATACTAGCAACATGCTAGGCATTCTATAAACATGCTAGCAACATGCTAATCATGTTAAAAACATGCTAGCAACATGCTAATCATGTTAGAAACATGCTAGCATCATGCTAAAACATGTTAAAACATTCTAGCTATGTTCTAATTCATGCTTTAAACATGCTATCTAGCTATCATCTGACAATATCTATTTATCTATTTTTTATGACGAAACTGTATTGCCTTCAAAACATTCAAACTTTAAGCTTTAAAACTAATTTAAACTTCAAACTATTCCAAACTGAAAACCGTCAAACTTTTAAAACTTTTAAAAACTTTTAGGCTAGGCTTTCTCAAGCCAACTTCAAAGTTTGTCTTGATGAAATTTTTTAACTAGTTATTATTATTAGTATTATTATCTAATTAACATTAGGGCTTATTTGTTCCATCATATTTATTTTTCTTGAAAAACTTGAAATCCACTATAGCATCTATAAAGACAGCCTTCGTGCTTTCAATGTGGAACTAGCCACAGCTAGACAGTCATTCTTCTCAAACCTTATAAACGGTAACTTAAACAACACTCGCACTCTTTTTGCTACTGTTGAGAGACTGACAAACCCCCCAAGTCAGATTGCCAGTGAAATGCTCTCCGACAGCAAATGCAATGAGTTTGCTTGAACTGATTGCACTATATTTTATGTATTACCATTTTCTATTTTTAACTTTTAAATTCATTTTAAATAAATTTTTTAATCATTTTAAATTCCTTGTTTTATTGTTTTGATTATTTTTATAATTATTTTACTTCTTTTAATGTAAAGCACTTTGAATTACCATTGTGCATGAAATGTGCTATATAAATAAACTTATATATAAATAATATATATAATATATTTAACACTATACATTTATATATAAATGCCTTGTTCAGGGTTTAATGGGAAACTCCTGGATCTCGCATCAGTCCCGCAGTGGGAATATCTCAGCGTAACGGTGCGTGAGAACAGCTCCTGTGCTTTTATGAAAAATCATAAATACTTTCTAGAGGTTTCTGCTGTTTGATGGCTGGAGCAGCTCAGGAAGCTCAAGATCACAAACACAGAGGCTTCTGGGTAATGTACTTCTTCTGAAATGTATTATTTTGGCTTGACAGCGACGTTCTGTTATTGTACGAACGAGGGTTTGGTGTTTTCAGGACTCGACCAGCAAACTCAGCACAGTCTGATCTGATTCACAGCGTCTGCTCAGATCCAACACGTTCCCCTAACATTAGAATACGGTTCCTGTTTGGTTAGATTTTGGGAACTAAATAATACGTTTTTTTAGGTTTTATTTTTTACAACCATAAAATAAGTTTCCCAGATTGTTCCGGGAAGCAGAATTGTTGGGAATAATCCTGTATTGATGGATTTCCAGTGAATATTTCGGACAGTTTCCAAGGCCTCAGAGAGTCTGGTGTTGTTCTGTTGTCATGGAAACAGACGCTCAGGGGCCAGCATTAAAAACTAGTCTGACCAACCAAAGGATAATCAGTCTTTTCCTTCTCAGATTACGCCAGATTGAGTTTTTATACATCTGACCAGCCTTAAAGAAACATATCAGAGGACTAACGTACAGTAAACTAGTCTAGTCAGTGTGTGCGGCTGGTTCAGAGTGAGTCGTCGCTCTGTGTTTTCAGACACTGCTGAGATCAGCTTTTCCGTTTCATGAAGTCACCCGTTCTGGAGCTTCTGAGAGGATCTTCAGGCTCTGTGAAGCGTGTCCTGATGGAGTCTGATCCAGCGGTGGAGCTGATGGAGATCCGGCTGTCTAAAATCTGCATGTGCTGGATCCTGGCAGATGTTCAGCTGGAGGTCACAGATTGATCATCTGGTGTGTGTTATTCTGAATCACCAGGCCAGAACTGAGATGCTCTGCAGATCTATAACTCACATCTAACAATGTTCTTGCCATGTCTGTCTGCAGAAAATCATGATTCAGTGTTTTGAATGACTGACAGACACGTCATGCTGAGGATGTTCAGTGAAGCCACTGGCTTATGGAGAAGTTTAACTACATTTAACTATTTTAAGTCTGTTTTTCTTAGTTCCAGTGTGTTTTTGCAGGTGGGAGTATCTGATGTGAGTTTGCAGAAGAGCATCTCTGGAGGAAGAAGGCCAGCACGCATCTCCTGTTTCTGATGATGATTCAGCAAAGCTATTATAGATGATCTGCTTGTGAATCTGTCAAATCTTCTTCTGACCCTCCAGATCTTCTGACTCACATGAAACACATCTGGTCTGACGGATCCTGCAGGGAATCGGTGTTGATCTTGGCCGCTCGTCAGAATCTCTGGAGATGAAATATTGAACAACTGATTAAAAGTCTAATATGATTAGTTTGTGCAGACAGATGTTTTCCCCAAGGCGTTCTCAAGCGTTCCTCTGGGTTCCTGCAGCTTCAGGGTTTGGTTTGAGGAATGTGTGATGGATTTCAGGAAGTGCTGCTGGTATCTGAGGTTCATCTGATCAATCCAGTGAAAACACGGCTTTCATTTGCACAAACACTGAGGCCAGCCGATCTCTGAAATCAAGATCTGCAGCCTCAAGAGCGACATGTGATTTCTCTGAAGATTCTCAATCGGTGCGCTGCTTTATTTATGACTTTAATATCAGTCGAGTGAGTTTGGGTTTGTTATGGTGAGTTTTGTGCCAGTGTGAGGAACTGAAGCTCATAATGAGACGTCTGAACGCATCAGCATCACTGCGGCTCACAGCAGACGCTCATTACACTCGTGCTCTTTACTGAAATCCTCTGAGAATCTGAGACGACTGAAACGGCTCGATTACTAAACTGGATTTTACTGTAAAGCTGCTTTGTTATTAGTACAATAAAATTGCTCAAAAACATGGTATTACTATAGTACCCTCTCTAGGAAGCGGTGGTATTACAGTGGTATTTTATAGATGTAAAACTGAGAAGATTAATGCCAAATGCATAAATGATCAGTACAGTTGAAATGTTATAATTTAGTCATTATAAAAGAATGTGTGTGTGTGTGTGTGTGTGTGCCTGTGTGTGAGTGTGTGTGTGTGCATGCGTGCGCGTGTGTGTGTGTGTGTGTGTGAGAGAGTGTGTGCGCCTGTGTGTGTGTGTGAGAGAGAGAGTGTGTGTGTGTGTGTCTGTGTGAGTGTGAGTGTGTGTGTGTGTGTGTGTGTGT